CGGAGGAAGCCGCGGGTGCTCTTCTCGCAGGCGCAGGTCTACGAGCTGGAGCGGCGCTTCAAGCAGCAGCGGTACCTGTCGGCGCCCGAGCGCGACCAGCTGGCCAGCGTGCTGAAGCTCACGTCCACGCAGGTCAAGATCTGGTTCCAGAACCGACGCTACAAGTGCAAGCGGCAGCGACAGGACCAGACTCTGGAGCTGGTGGGGCTGCCCCCGCCGCCGCCGCCGCCGGCTCGCCGGATCGCGGTGCCAGTGTTGGTGCGCGACGGCAAACCCTGCCTCGGGGACTCGGCGCCCTACGCGCCCGCCTACGGCGTGGGCCTCAACGCCTACGGCTACAACGCCTACCCCGCCTACCCGGGCTACGCCGGCGCGGCTTGCAGCCCAGGTTACAGCTGCGCCGCAGCCTACCCCGCCGGGCCGCCCCCGGGCCAGCCGCCCGCGGCCGCCGCCAACAACAACTTCGTGAACTTCGGCGTCGGGGACTTGAATGCGGTGCAGAGCCCCGGCATCCCGCAGGGCAACTCAGGGGTGTCCACGCTGCACGGTATCCGAGCCTGGTAGGGAAGGGTCCCGCCTGGAAAGCCCCTGGCTGATTCCCCCCCTCCACGGAGGGGCACTGTGGCTCCCAACGCGGCCTTGGGTGCTGCGGAGTCCACACTCGCTCCCGCCCAGGCCTCCGAACCTTTTCCTCGGCCTGTGCCCCTCTCTCCCGGGGCGGGCGGGCGTGCAGCCGCTGGATAGCCGTCCCACAGCCTGGCGCCTTCGCTGCTGCCGGGGAGGCTGGGAGTCCGGGAGCTCGGGGCCTAAGATCCAGCCCCGCTTCCCAGGGCCTGGGCCCGGCGCCTGGGCCCTTGGCTGCCTGTCCTTCGCCGCCCACCCACCCACCCGTATTTATGTTTTTACTTGTTGCTGTAAGAAGTGAGACACCCTTTGCAATTAAAGAGAGTGCGCTGACCCCGCACGTGTACTTCTTTCCGCTCGCAGCGCGGGAGAAAAAGAATCCCCGTGGGCAGACTAGGCGGGGATGATCTGGAGTCCCAGGCACCGCTATTCACTGAGCATTTGATAAGGGTATGAAACAAACCCGTGCTAGGTGCTTTGCGGGGGAGTGCCTCCTGTGCCTTCTTCACTAATCCAAAAAGGGAGGCCCGTTTTAAGTTTTAGTAAACTGAGGTTTAATGCCTTGCCTGCGTGCAGATAGACGGCTGGCAACGACAGCGCTGAGGTTCCACTTCTGTGCCTGCCTTACGGCTCCAGCCCAGATCACTGGAAGGCACTGCGTCTTAAGCACTGCTCCTGGCGCACAAAGGCCCCGGGCCCCACGAGATTGGTGCTCACAGTCACTCACCTCACTAAGCCCATTTTACAGACAAGAACGTCTCAGCAACAAACGCTGGTCAATTTGCCCCGGGCTTCCCCCATCCAGCCATTTCCCAGCCTCACCAGCTAAACTCAAGGACTGGACCACAGAGAAAGGTCCGTCTGGCTGCGGGGCCACAGGGCTTCAATGGGCAGAGCCCAGCCCTAACAGGCGCCCTCTCCTCCTGGCAGTTAACAAACCTTCTGACCGCAGTTGCGCTGGTTTTATATAAAACAAAACCAAACCCGAGGCTGGAGAAAAGCTGGAAAGCTGCTTTCTGTGTAACTTAACCTGCTCGCTGCCTGCCTCCGTTTTTCGTCTGTAAACTGACGGTGGCAGGGATGCCTTGCTCTGAGCCAGGGTCCAACCAGTCCATGGGAGCACGGCCTGACCCCAGCAAATCTGTCCCCAGCCCCGCTTCCAGGAGGAATTTATCAAGATACAAGAGCAGCAGGAAATGGGGACTTTGTGTTCCCACATTTGGGAGCTTTTGCGGTGGGTCCAGAGCTCCTAGTCCAAATGCGTGGCGTCTCGAACAAGCGCAGCTCCTGTGAGACCGCGAGGCCAGCGAAGAGTTCCCAGTTTGCGAGGGTCCCTCGATGGGACTACACAAGGCTGCAAGGGTCGGTTCTGTGGTCTCCTCTCCCTGGGTAAGTGCCGGCTATCTCCAGCGGAGACGCACAACACTGAGTTCCCCGAAGAGTCCTGGGAGGACTGGGCGGTGGCAACCAAGTGCGCTCAGGGCTTGGCCTGGGTGTCCCAACCAGAATTCCAGGGCCCACTGGGAGGCGTTGGGGAAGAGAAGTTCAGCTCAAGCCCCAGCTTCAGTCTCCTGGGCTTGCTGTTCTGCTGCAAGCCTTCGCCACCCTTTCCACCTCGAATTCCCATCTCACCTAGACGCAAACCCAGGGCCGCCAGACCACAGGCCATCTTTTAAACAGCACAGCGGTCTTTGACCAGCCAGCTCCCTGCTAGGTCAGCAGCCTACTTGACAGGTGTGAATCACACATGTCAGTGATCTTTCTAAAAGGTAATGGCCCACATTCATTTTCTTTTCTCAATTTGGACTCTGCGTGGGGTCCTGCTGTTTTCCTTGTTGCTTATCTGCAGTAACATTTGAGATCATAGTTCAATGATTCAAAGTTACACTACGTTCCATCCTCCCTTCAGATACCAAGTTTCCTCCCAGCCAGGAAGTGCACACAGGAGAACCACGGCTGGCCAAGCAACACTAAAAGCTCACCAAGTGCCAGGACCTGACTAAGGGCATCACAGCCTCCCCACTCTCTTTTTCTCGTCACCAATTCCACTGTGAGCCTTCCATGAGATGCCCAACACCAAGACTGGTACATGGGGCTCAAGGGATGAGCCCTTGAGAATTCTGGGAAGGGGCCCTGGGTCTCTGAAGGGAGCCAGAGCCAGAATTGAACCTCAGCCTTGCTAGATTAGCCATCTGCACACAGGCGTGGCATGAAATTTCTCCAGGCTGAAGATTGAGCTCTAGCTGCTCACTGAAAGGTGGGTAGTTCAAATCCCGTATCCCTGGCTGGAGAAAGAGGGGACTCTCTGCTCACATAAAGATCAACAATCTCTGTAAGTCTAGTGTTGTGAGTTGGAATCTATTTGATGGCAGTGGGCTAACCCATCTCTGTTGGCAGATCACAAAATGCAGAACCTCTCCAGGTTACAATCCTGGAGAATTCAGACACGCCTCTATTGAAAGGGTAGGGACACCCATATTGCACATCTCTCTACCAAGGATGTAGCTCGCCTCTTGGGCTCCTGCTGATCAGCCTGTATCTCCAGTCCCATGGTGGGCCTCACTGTCCAAAGCTGTGATGTGCAGCTCTGGGAAGTGACCTGGCCTGAGTTCTCCCCAAGGCTTCTCAGAGGGGGTTGGGTGCCGGGATCTGAAGAAATTGAAGCCAATGGCCTGGTCTTTACATAGCAACCAAAAGGAATCTGGATAGTTTGTTTACTTGTTTCAAAATTAAAAGTACAAAGGGCACATGCAGAGGGAGGAAATTATCCCAGGACAGATAAGTGGGGGACAAATGAAGCGCCCAAGACACCTCTAGGGTGGCAAAGCCTGTGGCAATGCCACCCAGTGTGTAGCCAGGCTCCCTCTGCAGGGTAGGAGCACCAGGACACTCAATGTGAACTCTCCTGCCCTTGAAATCTGTTCTGAACCAAGACCACCTCCCAAGTGACAGGGGGTGCTGAGTTCCAAAGGATGTTCTTTGGTGCCATCTTGACGGAAGCAGGTTGTCAGGCCTTTCCTCCCTGGCATTTCTTGGTGGGTTCCAGGGGCGTGCATTAGGAGCTGAGCACAAGATTTTTGGACCACCCAGGGAGCACAAAAGGGTATGGTTATTTTTGTTAATTGGGAGCTCTTACAGCTATTATAACAATTCATAATTCAGTTAGATCAAGCATAATTGTACAGTTGCTGCCACCATCATTTTGAAAACATCTTCTTTCTTCTTGAACTATTTCAAACCAGCTGCCCTTTATCCCCCCTACCCCCACCCCCAGGAACATATATATATTTTTTTCCATATCTTACACCATCCAATGTATGCATTCACCTACAATTCTATTATTCGTTCCCTTCAAGTGGGTTATATACGCCACCAAAAATAGATAGATAGATAGATAGATAGATAGATAGATAGATAGATAGATAGATAGATAAACAGCAACAAATTCCACTGCCATCAAGTGGATTCCAACTCAGAGCCACTCTGTAGGGCAGGGTAGAGCAGCCCTGGTGGGTCTCCGGAGTAAACATCTTCAAAGGAGCAGCGAGCCTTCTCTTTCTCCAGCAGAGGGGCTGGCGGGTTCGAAGACCAACTCTCAACCTACTTACACCACCGGGGCTCCTGAGAAATGACCCGGAGATGGTAAAGAGAAAAGATACTGCTCTCCAGCCTGGGGGGTGCTCACCCCTATGCTGCCCAGTAGTGGGATCCTCTGGGGTGGGGGTGGGGTGGGGGCCGGACCAGATGCGAGACCAGGCCACCACGGGGAACCGACCTGCAGCAGCCTCAGAACTCCCCAGCTCCGGCGCCCACCGGAAAGCCTCTCTGTTTCTTTCCACCATCCCTGGCCTGTGGGCACTCACTTTGTTCAATGAGAGTAGTAGCCTTGGGCCTCTTGTTTCGTTTAGATTTTCCCTAAAACCAACCTCACGCTGTGTGTTTAAAAATGTCATTGACGAGCAGAGCTAGGTCGCCGCCAGCACCTGTGCCCAGAAGGTGCCCTGCTCACGTCCAGGTGGCCCACTGGCGGCCAGGCTTCCTCACGAGTCTGGACGCCTGGAGCAAGGCGCCAGTGGTCGAGGCTTCGTTTATCAATCACGGTGTGTACAGGAGTCGGGCACGGTCCCTTGGATGATTGAGTTCTCTCTGAAACCGCTAAGGTGGGTTGAGGAAAGAGGTGGAGCAATCCTCGACCCAGAGGAAGAGACACCTGCTTACCTTCACACAGCTGACAAATTCCTTGGTTTCACTCCCGGGCAACCCCCAACCCCACCCCAAGCCAGATTCTGGGAGCACAATGCCATCTCATTCCCCATTTAGGGCCAAGTAAGGAGGAGCACCATTTGTTAATTGATCTAAAGGCAGCAATAACATAGCTACCTCCTACCACTACCCAAGGTGCTCTGGTAAAGAGTGTGGTTACACGTTGGGCTGCTAACCACAGGGTCAGAAGTTTGAAACCACCAGCTGCTCGGAGGGAGAAAGATGAGGCTTTCTTCTCCCATAAAGAGTTACAGTCTGGGAAACATACAGAGGTAGTTCTACCTGCCCTTTAAGGTTGAGTCCGGACAGACTCCAAGGCAGCGAGTTTGGGTTTTATTATTTATTTTTTACCACTCCCCACTGCCATAGAATAAATCCCAACCCCTCACTACCTTACACAGGGTGACTGAGGCTGTAACCTTTTACCTGAGCTGGTCCGTCAGCCGTCCAACACCTCCCGGGCAGGACAGCGCCACCGTGGAGTCTGACTGACTCCGGCTGAGCCAAGGCTCAGAATAAGTGGGGACAGATAAGTGGGGGACAAATGAAGCGCCCAAGACACCTCTAGGGTGGCAAAGCCTGTGGCAATGGTACTCAGTGTGTAGCCAGGCTCCCTCTGCAGGGTAGGAGTGCCAGGACACTCAATGTGAACTCTCCTGCCCTTGAAATCCGTTCTGAATCAAGACCACCTCCCAAGTGACAGGGGGGTGCTGAGTTCCAAAGGAGGTTCTTTGGTGCCATCTTGACGGAAGCAGGTTGTCAGGCCTTTCCTCCGTGGCATTTCTTGGTGGGGGACAAGTAGAGCTGTGCCCCTCAGGTTTTCAGGGCTGATTTTCAGAAGTAGATTGCCAGGCTTTTGTTCTCAGGTGCCCAGAACATCCAACCCTTGGGTTGGCATTTTACCATTTGTACCACCCAGGACTCCACTGGTAGCCAACAATTTTTCAGAGACACCTATGGCCCAGGCATCATGTCTATTAAGCACCATTATTCCCTTTGGACCCGGAGGGAGGAAAGTGAAGCCCAGGGAGCCATGGTCCTCGGTGGGGAGGGGTGGCCTTGGGGGATTCT